AGCCCTATGAGATTTGTTTTCGTATTGCTGAAAGAACATAACCTTTAGTGATCGTTGGTGAGAACTTTAAAACGATGGTTGTGTTTTAAACTCCCTAACATGAGTGATTTGAATGATTCTTGTACGCTAAAAGACTGAGCTTTTGAATTGGGGATTCATATCCTAGATATTTAAAGTGCTACATGCAGAAATTCACTAAAACATGGTCCCGGAATTTGGGTTTCCATTTTATTCACTTACCCTGTACATGTATATCGAGTACATAAAGCAAGTTTCTTGCGTTTTACCATGCAGTCGCGTTTTGTAAAGTGGTGCGGATATAGAAAACTGACAATTACGTTTGCCTTTTAAGGGCATGCACGAGACGCTCTTAATGCTGAAGTAATTGAAACCTGAAAGAATCATTTATTGGGCATGGGGAGCCCTTTCCTGCTTTGGTAACTGTTTATAATTCTGTGTAAAAAATGTTAAAAGTGCTGTATCCTGGAAATTCTCACCTAGCATGGATGACTGAAAACCAAATTTTGTGAAGGGGTCCTTAGCTAAGCCCGGGCTAGGCTTTAGCTCCGCTGGCGTTTTGAATTCTTCGTCCATTTCTGTTTCACAATTTAATCTACCAATAGAAAAAAAAAATGTTGACACCTTTATTGACATCTGCTGTAAACTCTGAAGATCTAACAGTGTGTATCAAAAAAATCAAAAAAAAAATATAACGGCATGCCTGACGTAGAATGTGCAACCAACATAGATAATGTAGATATGGTTTGAATGATACGTCGTTCCACTTCAAACGTCCAAATCTGATAATTTTTGACAGAGTTATGAGTAATTTTCCAAGAGATGGCAAATTGACCATGGGATGAAGGTAGCCTAATGCCTCCGTGGGATAATTGCCTGGCCTACAAAAATGTGTTTAATAGTCAGAAAACACAATTTTAAACACTTTCTTGGTATCAGTTTGTAAACATGTTTGCATGCTAAACATTTTTAGCATGAGGTGATAGCAAGAAAGTGTATAGTACTCGCTAAAACATTTTTGGTAGGTCAGTCCAATATCCACACAGAGGCAATTTAGGCTACCTTTGTCCCTATGCCTTAAATTGAAAACTTGGTCTCATGGTCAATTTTACCTCTCAGGGAAAATTACTCATAACTCAGTAAAAAATAATTGGATTGACGTTCGATGTCTCATTTTCAAGTGGAAAGACGTATCCTTGAAACCGTACCTATATGATTTATGTCAGTTACACACTCTACGTCTGGCATTCCGTTATATTTTGTTTGCATTTTTTTTTACACACTGTAAAAAAACACCCTAACCGACCGACCAGCCAAAAGATAGAAGGGCCGACATACCAAATCTAATAAAGTTATGTCTGCTAAATTTGACTTATTAAATAAACATAATTGCCCGTGTTTTTATGGAATAAATGACTGGGGGAGAAGATTTCTGATATCAACAATAATTTCTACAGATAGCATTGGAAGATCTACGATCTCATTTCTAACTGCATAATACGGTTTTCAAGCCAAGAAGATCACAGTCACGTTAGTTGTAAACACACAGATTATATCGCCAACTAAGTTCACTGTTTGGGGGGTCATTAAATTTTGTCCCTCGTGATACTTGGAATTTCCTCTTATTCCCTTTGATTTTCATTTTGATATTTTCATGTGGAAATTCCTTCTCATAACATTCCAGTGGAATTCCATACGATTTCCGTATCTGTGAGAACTAATAACACTTCTGTCTGTTTATGTCTTTACTTTCATTTGCAACCAGTTTTACAAATTTTAATTATTATTCTACCAACTTACCTCCCAAAAAACAACCAAATTCAGGAGCTATCACAAAAACAAAATGGCGCTACTCGAGGTGGAAAAACCAGTGCGTCACAGCCAACAATAACGGCTATACGTAGAGGCAGTTAATCTGTAATATTATGTAAACACACATAATCTTGAACTTTGAACACATACGAAGCCTTTTGCTGCATCGATGCGCGTCTCTTGGCCGACAAGGTTATAAAAGGTATTGCATTATAAGGCAAATGGTTGGGGGAAGTGTAACAAGTAAGAAAATCCCGCCGATCTTTCCCATTTGAGACATGCTCCCACGAAACCCGGACAAAGTTGCAGAAGTTGTATTCGCACGAAGGGCATATGAAGTCACTCTGGGTAGGAACTGACTGACCGTTTTGAGGTTTTGAAATTTTCTGAATCAGGACCTATATATTTACAACCTCCCAAAATATAAATATAATCCAAGCAGAAGTGTGGTTTTGGTCGATTTTGTGGCCAAAAAAATGTGTATAGAAAGTTATGCAAAAAGCATTAAATACAAAAAGCATTTCATTGCGCGTATTTATCTCATATAATCCTTCTCCTAGCAGCGGGCGCCCGAACTAAAACCAGCAAGTTACCGACTTGATTTCAAGTTTACTGGTCAATAATGCTTAAAGACATTAATTAGAGCTTCCCTTTTAAATTCCGTGGTTCTCAATTCCGACCGACTCTTTTTTGGCTCCCGACCTACTAAGAAAAACAACCTTTTTTATGCTGCCGACCCTGTCTGGAATTTCCCACCAAGAAAAATCGGAGAAAAAATTAAAATCTCCATAATTTACAGGAAAAAAGCAAGTATTTTTTTGATTCCCATCTTTTGTTCTCCCGACCGACCGACCCTAGCTCCCACAAGGTCCCAAAAAAAAAAATACCTGTGAATCATGGAATTAAAAAGGGACGCCCTAATATACGATGCTTTTTGTAGGCATGTGATAATTATGAAGTATATTAAACTCGTATGCACCACAACTCTAGCATAGTCATGCCTTTCATAAGCAACCAATTTTACAATTTGTAATAATATTTCAATTATCTTACCAACCAAGCTCAGTCCTCAACAAACGAGAAATATGCAGGAACTACATCACAAAAACAAAATGGCGCTTCTCAGGGTTGGGAAAAACCCCAGTGCGTCACAGCCAACAATAATGATCTACGTCATTGCAGCTGCATGTTGCAGTTATAATAATGTAAGTACAAACACACTTGAACTTTGAACTCATAACCGAAGCCTTTCGCTGTAAACATGAATTCAGTCGTTTGCAGTGGCACGTACGGTCGAATGGTTGCACACGTCTCTTGGCCAATGCGTTAAACATTACGTTGTAAAATTGAAGGCACGATCAATAATAGGCATATTGCTGGGGGAAGTTTATATTTAATCCTTTGCTGTAAAGGATGCCTGGATGTCGCACACCTTTCCGATTTTACCATTAAACACTGGGTCACCAGTACGGGTTTTTTTTCACCATTTGCAAATAAATTGCAAATTATAAGCCTAATTAATCGGTAACATGATTTAGTCACATGAAGACCAATCACATGATGACAAAATCGCAGCCGTCAGTCAATTCTGAATCATGTAAATACAATTATTCCATCTAGTCAGATGGTTAAATGGTCTGAATTGTGACCGACTAGTTCAAGGTAAACTAGGCATAGCCATATAGAAGTAAAAGGTGTCACACCTGAAATTCTTTTGGGAAGGGTGTCAGATTTGCATAATAGCCGCCGTGTAATATTTGTATTCCCTTGATTTTGTATATTTCATATTCTTTTATTTGTTGGGAAGTCTGTTTAGAGGATTCTATTTTGGTATCCTCAAATAACTTTTTTGAAGCATAATGACTGGATAATTACACATGTATGACAGGTCCTAAATGGTTACCAAAAGTTGCGCGCATATACCTTTTCTTCACATCTTCAAAAATAATGTTGGAATTTTATTTTGGCATTCCACAAGAAAAATGGTGAAAAATCCGTTGGAGTTAATTGGGTAAAAACGAATTTTAATTACGACCTTGCAAATACGGATTTGTGGACCAAGGAATAGTCTTAATTAGTTGCCAAGCCTGAGCTCCATATTCACAAACAGCACAGTTACCCTAGTACAACAATGTGGAAAATCATATGAATAATGATAAATAATGTTAGTAAGCCGAGAAAGGGCGGGGGGTGAGGCGTCCGTAAATTGGGCAAAACAAACTTAGGCGAAGTTCAAAGAAATCCTCAAAAATGAGAGATTATGGTTGTTTATAGTATACATCAAAACGTTATTACATATTGGGGGATTTCCTTAATTACTTGTTCAAGCCCCCCACGTTAACAGGCAAAAGTAACGGACACCCATTTAAATGGACATCCTTTGTTTGTTTTCTGGACTGAATGTGTTGATGTTATCATTGTTCACGTGATTTTCCATAATAGTCTTATTAGGACATCTGTGCCACATGCAGGCAACTTTGTGATTTGCCATCAATTGTCATTAATTTGTATACGGCACTTCAGTTTCGACGGCCGGCCGTTCGCGGGTTTTGAGATGTTGCCCGTACAGACCATGTGCGGATAATTCCCATCCAACTTTTTAGTGGCGAGAAAAAAAAAGGCGTTTTGGGAAGTATTTATTCGAAGTTTCCAAGAGACATAGAGTATATTGATACTTCAAAACGGAGATAATGAAAAGGGCCTACGAAAAAAGCTAAGTGAAGCATTTAAGCGGAGTGCATAATAAGATGTACATTATGAACAACTCCCAGACCCGTACCTAGTAGCGTACGTAATAGATAGTGGTGTCCACTGTCCCCCCCCCCCAAAAAAAAAAATCCCGCCCCTTCGATTTTCCACGGCCGGGCAGTTTAAGCAACGTGCCCCCCCCCCCGGTCCCCGCCCCTCTTGCCGACATAGGTTTACTCCACTGTATCGTCAACAGAAACTGCGATACGTTGCGTTATATTTCATTTTAAGGAAAGGAGGGATTAGCTCTTTCGAGTTACCAAAATGTCACTGAATGTGAATAGTCCGAATTAGTCTAGCCTATATGCCTACAGATACTCACAAGGTGCCCTACTTTAACTTGTATGTAAATTTCATGTGGTTTACAATATATAATGTTCTTTCTTGTACGATTTGCTTGCTTCTCAAAGTGATCTATAGAGGGCGCAATCAACATGACAGCCAACTGGCATGAGTGGCGAGCATAAGTTGGTATTTTTTTGGGACGTGGCACAAACATATGAATGCCGTTTTACTTTTACTAATAATATAGGGAAATAAGTTACGTTATTTTATTAGTTGGAAGTTCGCTTTGTGTCAATTCTGTCCCTGTGATTTCTTTTCATAAAGGTGAGCCGATAATTTATAACACTTTTTAACAGGCATGACCATGATGACTGTCGGCGATCGTCAATCATGTCTATCGTGAAGTGTAGGGCCCGGTTCCTATAAAAAGGGAACAAATCCACTTTAAAATTATTGGACCTACCAAACTAGTTGGCGACATTCTCAATTAATAGGTATGTCATAGATAGAGGGCAGGGTTTGGATTTGGGGGGGGGAGGAAATTTGGGTGTAAAATGACGATGACAGCGCGGCGATCCCGAACACGCAACCCGAAAACAAAGATGGCGATCACCACGCGATGTACCGTGAGCACGCACGGCGCGCTGAATCGCAAGGCACAAACCGCGCAGGAAAATCGTGATTTCTACTCCAAGAATCTGTTCAAAATTGCTAAACGGGTGTCATTAAAATTGGGAAAAACGTCTACTTTTGATTGTAAAGGTGATTTTTTAGCAATAAAATTTAAAAAAAATCATTTTTGACTCTAGTCTAATTTGATCAAAACAAAACAGGGGCCCTACACCATGTACACTATACACGATTGCCTGACTGTCAAATTACCGCAACGTGGCTTGGGGGCAATGGGGCGATGTCTTTTTGATTTGGAGTAATTGCAGAATACCCCGCCACTCGGAATTTACACCCCTAAACTCTCTGGCTACGAGGTTGGAATCACTGGAAAACAAACAATTCAAGTCCATTGCCAGCTACGCGGATACTGAGTGGGCGGGGTCTTCTTGAGAACGAAGCAACACAAAAATAATGGGAGTTGCTGAAAAAATTGTTACTTGTTAGGCCGAATTTTTAAAAAAACATGTTCCTCGTCCAGGTTTTTGAAAAAAAAAGGAGGAAGAGGAGCTTTTTATTTTTTATTTTTTTATTTTTTTAAGATGACCGCCATTTTGAAATTTCCTGCAATCGTTGGTATTTCCACTGTTCAAAGACACTTTTAAAATGAGAGACAAATTGGACAAAAGAACTGAACATATTTTCAGGGTCATTTAGAGTTGTATTGGTCTACAATGAACAGTTTTATTTATTTTCCGATGAATTTGTGGACTTTTTCGGTGTTTTTTACTGCATTTTTCAAAAATAAAAAACAATTAAAAAAAATCCAGGCAGCCTCCAAAAAGTAAGCGGGTGGGGACGAGAAATATGTTTTTTTTTTACTTGGGCTTAGGCCAGGGGCCTACTTAAAATGACATTCGAAACCTCGGCCTCAGGCAATCTTCTCTAAATTATATTGATCTTCTTTTTGCCAGACGCCACTTTTTATGTTAATTGTGTTCAAAGTCTAGAGTCACGCAGTCAACATGGTCAATGACACTGCATTGGCATGATTGGCATGCTTGATTGGGAGCTGTTACTCAAGTCTCAAGCTAGCTGAGTACAACATCCAACAGCCGTCACGTGAAGTACCTGGCGGCTGGTACTGGTACCTCGTCTCTGTTTACAACTACCGTAACGGTCATGCCACCACTCACGAGGCAATTAAAGAATTATATTTTAGGCCTAGTGCCAGTGGTAATTTTTGACAGCAGTTGTGGATTATTTATATTAGGCAGTGTATATTTTGCCGGAGACAGCAAACCTTCAGTAAACGTTAGTTTGCCGGATATGCACTGAACATGCGCAGTTACTGTTTTTTTGTACTTAAACATTTTCCGGTGACAAATTTTAGTCTGGCTCCATGCCAAAACTATCGTTGTATTTTTGTATTTACAAGATGGGAATCAGACCATTTTATAATTTCGGACTTTATTTCCCTTTTAAAAAAAAACCTCCAGAGCCACAAATCTGAAAAAGAAAATGTAATACTCTGCAAAAAATGTTTGAGACATGTTAAAATAATACAAGAAGAATATTCTTATTTATTTGGGGATGAGAAAAAAAAACTTAAAAATTTGGTGCGGTCTGGGAATCGAACGCGAGCCATCCCGCTTATGAGAGCCTTTGCTTAACCATTATACCAAATGTGCTACACAACTTTTGGTGGGAATTTAATACATCTTATAATTCAGCCCTATTTTAAAGAGTACAGCGCCCTCTGTTGCTATGGATTGCCGCCGGCAAACCTTTAGTAATCGTTGGTTTGCCGTCATTACCTCCGGCAAAATATCCACTATCTTATATTTTAGGCCTAGTGCCAGTGGTCCTTTTTGACAGCAGTTGTGGATTATTCATATTATGATTAATTATTTTGGAAGACAGAGGGGGTTTATGATAATCAAATGCCATTTGATGATATGGTGTTGTAGCCACGTTTCAATGTGCAAACAACAGATTGCTGTCTGTTTTACAGAATTCTAAAAGGTTGTCAGCAAAGGTCAGGGGTCACATCAGCAATGGCGACCTTCCGATGCAACAAGTGGTTCCTCTGCACCTTCTTTGTTGCCGTTCTTGGCTTCCTGAAGCGCATCCTCTTCAGCAGATTCCACCGACGGAACAAAAGCGACACCGACTTGCCAATGCTTACCGGCACCATCAGCACCCCAGCAGCTGCAGGCAACTCACTCGATGAAAGAAACGTGAGTCATGTATACGGTATGAATAGACAAAGAGAATCCAAATACTGGACATACTTAGTTTTGTTCAACATGGTAAGACAAATGTCAGTAGCCTAGACTGGTCAAATGATCGATAGAAAAACAGCCTTGGTCCCATGTGTGAAACAGGTTGAAGCATACTTTTGTAGGTCCCCTTTTTTATTTGAAAGGTGATAGATACATACAGCTTTTATTGATTCCACTTTTGTGCTAATACCTATTTTGTAGGCCAAGTTATAGAAAATTCGGGGGTCAGGCAACTCAACCATTGACAAAAATCAACTTGAGACAGCTCGACCGTTGAGACAACGATGATTAGGGCAACTCAAGGGTTGAGACAACGAGTTGTCTCAACGGTCGAGTTGTCTCAACGGTCGAGTTGTCTCAACGGTCGAGTTGTCTCAACGGTCGAGTTGTCTCAACGGTCGAGTTGTCTCAACGGTCGAGTTGTCTCAACGGTCGAGTTGTCATGAGTCGAGTTGTCTCAATGGTCCAGCTGTCCTGAGTCGAGTTGTCTGAACGGTCGAGTTGTCTGAACGGTCGAGTTGTCTGAACGGTCGAGTTGTCTGAACGGTCGAGTTGTCTGAACGGTCGAGTTGTCTGAACGGTCGAGTTGTCTGAACGGTCGAGTTGTCTGAACGGTCGAGTTGTCTGAACGGTCGAGTTGTCTGAACGGTCGAGTTGTCTGAACGGTCGAGTTGTCTGAACGGTCGAGTTGTCTGAACGGTCGAGTTGTCTGAACGGTCGAGTTGTCTGAACGGTCGAGTTGTCTGAACGGTCGAGTTGTCTGAACGGTCGAGTTGTCTGAACGGTCGAGTTGTCTGAACGGTCGAGTTGTCTGAACGGTCGAGTTGTCTGAACGGTCGAGTTGTCTCAATGGTTGAGTTGTCTCAACGGTCCAGTTGTCTAAACAGTCCAGCTGTCCCGAGTCGAGTTGTCTCAACGGTCCAGTTGCCTAAAATTCTAAAAATCAAATGTAAAATTAAAACCAAGAATCATTGAAAATCAACTACTGACCCTCTGTACACTTTGAATGTAGGAAAGGCTTGGTTGCTGGAAACACAAAAAAAAAAATTGCGGTTGGGGAGGAGCCTTAGGACTAGAAATCTCAGGAAAAGCATGGTCCATATTATTAGTAATAAAGTACAACGTACAGGAATAGATGTGGAAAAAATTGTCGCGTCTGTGCAACAAGGTCATTCTGTAACTAAGTCATATCTAGCGAGAATATGCTCCGTGCAACAAATTCGTATCTCGACGTCCATTGACTTTGTGTGTAAATCCGGGTTATTTAAAGTGACGACGACCTTTTGACATTCTGAAACTCTTGTTTCAAGTACGACCCATTTTAGGAGATACGATCTCGTTGCACGGACACGATGAAATGTACCCTGGGTGTAAAATTCATGTCATAACTTGTTAACCGGCGACTTTTCCCCCACAATTTTCATTACAGGTAGATATTGCAGATTGGGATGATTGGGATTACGCAGGTGCACCAACAGGTATCATCATAGAACCTAACAACCCCCATACAGGCCCAGGGACCACGCCCATGGGTGCGGCTCCAATGGGAGGGGCCTCAGTAGGGGGAGGAGTCACTGCTGATAGCGACGATGTGCCAGAGATGGACTACTTCAGTGACATGGCACCGACCTTAAAAAAAACAGTAAGTCTTATCTTAGACCTGTTCACTTTCTTACATGTTTGACCCTACCATCCTTAATCCTTCAAAATCCTTCAGCCGGTTTTGGAGGATTTTGGAGGGTTGAAGCTGAATGGTAAAATTGTATTAGTTGATTTTGGAGGATGCAATGTGTCGAATTTGTAGGCTGTACATTGTTTATGTGCATAATTGAGCCCTGCATTGCGCTCGCTATCATCCGCGCTGCTTCTGAATGTCATCGGCACTGCCTGAATCGAGTACAGTGATTGTTGAAGGATTTGGAAGGATTGAGGCAATGGTCACACCTCCACTGAGCAAATTCAAGAAATAATGGATGATTATGGAAGATTGAGGATGTATCCAGTTTGTTCATGGTGGCAATTAAAGGATTTTAAGGATTGAGGATGGATCCTAGCAAAAAAGATATAGGCGGTTAGGTTAAGATGGGTGCATTTAATAGGCAGGGCCGCAATATAAGCTGGGTCTCAAAACATAGGAGTCGTAGCCTTTAACCCTAACCCCCTTGAGTGATTTATTAGGATCCTTCCTCACTCCTGCCAAATCCAACACCATATGGTGAACTCAACACCCAAACAGCTGGACTCTTATTATGGTGGTGTGCCTGACCCCATGTAAAGCTTAATCAGTTTACTAGTGCACTCCTCACTCCAACAGATTCCAACAAAACATGCAGTTGGATTTTGTAGGATTGGGGTGGCTTAGGGTTAATGATGATGTGCAAGAGATGGACTAGTAACACTTAGAGAAAAGTGAAATGCATTTATGGGCTGTGTCAGACATAAAACGTCAATTGAGTAGTCAACCTAACCTTTGATTTGGTTTTGTTTTGATCTGTTTTCACAGGTTTTGATCAGGAAAAAAGATCGGACTCGAGCAGGGTTGCCCAATAGCGGGATGTCAAATCGCTTGTCGATGAATGTAGATATCACACCTATTGCCTCGGTAAGAAGTGCACTCCAAGATTTTGTTTGCTAAACATGACAGAAATTTTAAACCTATTATGCCCCATACAGCCACGAAGTGCCACTCTTAATTATGTAGATGATCCAAGATTGTGCTCTTTCAGAATGAAGAGAACATTTCACCTATTCACTTCATCTGGCACCAACTAGTGCATGCATGCAGTGTGGCCCTCCCACGAGGTCTCATAATTATTATTATTATTTATTTAGCCTTTCTTACAACATTATGGCAAGGAACAGCAAATGTACAAGTACTGTGGTCCGAGGACCTGCTGCACCGATAAAGCGCCACCTACGTTGTAGTGGTCATAACAAAGTCCATTTTAGCTTTGTCTGTTCAGTATACAAGTAAAACATGGTTTGAGTGATGATAGTCATTATAAGCTCCCCAAGGTATTGGTAGTTGACAAACTAGTTCCCGAGGCGAAGCCATGGAGCCTGGTTTAATTTGTCAAATTCCAATACCAAGGGGAGTTAAACTCGGCTATCCACCCAAAATCAACCATGGTGAATTTGTTTTACTAAACCTCGTACGTATTCACCTTCATTGTGTCAGATTACGCATCAGTTTCTGGGCAAAATGTTGCTGTGCATGTTCCCCCATCTGTACATGTAGCTTGGGCGATGTTTGTGAATGCGCACTACTTCCCCGTGCGCTAGTTCCATGATTGCTTCGTAAAGTGCACGTGTCGTAGACTAGCTAAAGGGTAACCTGTGCATTAGTCTAATACGCCTGCTTATTTGTGTGTGTGAAACTTCACAGACTTGCAGGCACAGTAAACAGCAACACTAGGGGATATCACATGATGGATAATGGACCATTGGGAACTCAGCTCTCGATCAATCATGAATATGTATGAGGTATAGCAATATTTCCTGTCCCTCGGTTTACAGTCAGAGTTATCGACATGGGATGAGGACAACGACGGCACGTGGGAAGACGAAACAAGCGCCGTGGACTTGTCCTGGGACGCAGACCGCGTCATCAAGGAGAAGAAACAAGCCGAGCGCGACCGAAGGTCCGCCGAGCAACACCGGAAGAAGATGGAACGAGAGCAGCAACGGGCCATGAAAAAAGACGGTGGCAAGTTGGCGGTCAAGTTAAAGTGATAACAGCACGGTGCGTAGTTTGAATACAACTTGTATATCCACCAGAGGTTCAGTGGCAGAGGTAGGGTTGCCTTAATGGGGTCCGTGTGTGAACAAGAGAGGGCGCTTTTTCACTACTTTTGACTACACCAGGACACACTGGGTGCGCGTCCTGGTTGGCGCGAAGTACGCGCTACTTATTAGATTTTGAGCAAAAGGCAGAAGTGTCTTTGCATGAGCATCAGGCATCGTCAGCAATGCATTCGAATGTCTCTACCAGTAGTCTCTGCCAACTCTGTTTTTCGTACGAACTTCAACCATCCCCAACCCTGCAAAATCCAACTGCATGTTTTGTTGGAATCTGTTGGATCGAGTACTGGACTAGTAAAGGTCAGGCATACCACCACAATCAGAGTCCAACAGTTTGGGTGTAGAGTTTACCATATGGTGTTGGATTTTGCAAGAGTGAGGAAGGTTGCTAGTAAATCACTTAAGGGGGTTAGAGGTACTTGTACATGGAGCCGATATGATTAGAGAGAGTTGTAGTCGAGTTGGGAGTCCGCACCCAATATTGTCCCAATTGGCAACCTAGGCTCTTCCACTTATAATTGTTGTTGTTTGTTGTTACTTGAGGAAGCTGTCCCTAACCTGTTGAAAATTCTGACTGACTTTTGGTCCCGAAGAGCATCCAAGTATTCATTTTGTACCTATCACACTGACTGACCGAGTCGCTCACTAATTGACTGTCACATTGACTAGTACAGCAAGTTGGCGATTAAAGATTGTTCAGTTTATGTGTAAAGGCATGAAATTTGGCACACAGTCATGGGTAAAAATAGTTGGCTGTAGGGCCATCTCAGATTTGTCCTGTGAAAAATATCATAGGATAAAGCCCAAAAAAAAAAGTCTCCGGTTTCTGGTATGCGCGCGCGTCGCTGAAGCCATGCGCGTCGGCAAAATGAAAAAGGTTTTTTTTTCCAATGAAAGATGATATCTCAAACTGCCAAACTCACTGGTTTGACTGAAATCCTGCTGCTGCACAATTTAAATGTGTTTTTAGATGGGGTTATGATCGAGAATAAGCTTTATGTGGCCTCTCTAGACTCCCATATATTTGCACAAAGTTTAGTCGGGCACCATTTGCAGTCATCAGCCGACATTTGAAGCAAAAAAAAACAGGTTAAAAAAAAGCCGCGTCGCCGCACCACTTATTGGGCAAGCTCCATACCAGAAACCGGAGACTTATTTTTTTTGACCTACCATGAAATTTTCAAAAATTTCTGAAAGGCGGCCATTGCATGTTATTCTATGATATTTCTTTATCTGACAAATCTGCGATGGCCCTATAGCCAAGTATTTTCCCTATGGCATACTCTGACTGTGCCCCAATGTCATGCTTTTATCATCAAATGAACAATTCCATCATATTGTGTACCAAACTGCCTGACTACTGTCAACTGGGCAGTGCTCTTGTATAGGATATCCCGTAACACAAAAAGAGCTGCTAGTTCCAGCCAGTTATGCATGAAACAGTTCTAGTGAGTAGCCATGCTGAATCATTGACTTGAGTATGGTGTGCTCTCGGGCCAGCTCTATCTACTAGGTTTTTCGTGTCTTTTTTTTTTATTTGGATCATTTTTTTTTCTTTTTTTGGGGTGGTTATGGGTTTATCAGCAAGGCTCCCAATGTCACAGAACAGCTCACGAAACTAAGTTTATGTGAATATTACTTTAATTATTATTTTATCAGGATCTGATGACTGAATTGATCGTGTGATTTTGTACGTTTGATAAAACCCTATCCACCGAAATTGATGGGTTTTATTGGTAAGTTACTTGAAAAGCAACAAACTGATGTTAGGATGCGGCAGAGAAAGTTAAAAGTCACAAAGCAAATGTCCCGTGATGGAATATCTGAACAGAAGCTTGTCACACGATGCTTTTGCAATTCGGGCCATTCACGATGCAGTGCGCCACCAAGAGTTTGTCACGGAGAGTTCATATTTCCAAGTGCATTGTAGGAGATGGTCGACAAATTCGCAGTGCGGGACATTTGAAATTTAGTTTTTCCGGTCAGTAGTTTCGTTAGCGTATGATTTGAGTATATGTTTGCCCTTTTCTTTATCAATAATGGTGTTTTTTTTGTAAGGTGGCAGAACGCTATGCCCTAATCTATAACAAATTAGCTCAAGTTGTCTACTGACACTCATTCAAATTGGCCATGCTTAGTCGACCATAAACTTGAAAAATGGACTATCCTTGGCAAACTCTTGGTGGCACACTGCATTGTGAATGGCCCAAATTGAAGGGGCCTCCTCCAGTGAACAGTGAATGGTCTTTAGGCAGTTACAAATGTACAAATGAAGTAACATGTGACTGATCACATGGTTTTTAGGTAATTTTTTTTTTAATCTTTAAAACACATCTACCAAAAGTAGCACATGGCTTGTAGATATACCACAGCTCTCAATGGAGAATGTAGTTTCACATCTGCATTTTTTCGTGTCTGACTTATTGGTTGGTACTAAAATGGACACAACTTTCTCATACATGTACATGTATGTGATACTTGTACATTACATGTACCTAAAATCACATGATTGTAGGTACATCTGATGTAATTGTGTTAATCTGTGACATCCACCAACTATATCTACCAAAGTAAGCACAGCTTTGTAGATAAAACACAGGGCTCAATTGAGAATGCAAGCTCAACACTTGTTGACGATAGATTTGTTGGTAATCATGCAGTTCAGGACACCTCCATTTTTCCCACAAATTTCATTCAATTTCCAAAATTGACTTTTGTAAATGACAGTCAATTCCAAAATGACTTTTGCAACCTCAAGCAGTCTTTTTTTCATCAGATTAATATTTTTGGTGGTGATTTTGAAAGTACTTTTGAAGAAATTCATTTTTTTCCGTGTTACCTTGTTTGCACTAAGAGACGTCGCAATCTTGCTCACCACCCCCGGGGGTTGTACAGGTTGTCTTTGTCGCTGTTTTACCCTATAATTTCTCCCGCACATTCAAACCCTACCCTCTTTCCACAAAATTAAGCTTGCTAATACTCAACATGGTATCTTAGCCAGCTAGGTGATTACAAAATACTCAGAATGCACGTTTCCATATAGGAGGGTGAATTAATTTGCACTATTGTCCTTTTCCAGTTTGGTTAAGTATTCTACCGGGTGTTAACCACTCCACGAAAAGGGCCGCCGTTGCAAAACTTGCCTTTGACAATTAAAAAAAAAATAAAGATATTTTATTGAGGTCACACCAAGTTTCGTACATTTTTTTTTAACATTGCCATTAAAAATTTAATCAATTATTGGTGCCATTATTTTGTAATAAAAAAAAACAGAAATAAAACAATTATGAAATTATGTTAACGAGTAGATTTGTGCTGGACCACTTTATTTTATTCACTCTATATTACGTACTAGTATACACAACGGACTGTGTTTCTGAGTTACAGTTAACGTTCTTTTTTTTTATACAATCATATATACTGAACAAGAAAATTTTTAAACGTTTAAAATGTTTGGTTTTGTCTTATCGAACCCAACAAACTCACAGGGATTTCTCACCACACGGTGCAACCTAAAACTTTGATTTGCTGACTTTTTTCTTTTTTTTTGTTATTATTATTATTTTTTTTTTTTATAGTTTCCAAGGGATATATATACAAGAGATAGAATCCACCAGTAACAGGGAAGGTCTCCCGAGATAAAAGGCTGCTGAAAATGTTGGGGATCACTTTTTGTTCCCTGTCACTGTTACATCTGGCTTCTATGACTTTACACAATGTAATTCTGATAAAATGCAGTTGTCCTGCAAGAGTAGCTATGACCAGCAAACTACCTGCTCAACAAATACAAACAAAAACATCAGTGAAGTCATTCTTAAAGATACTTAGCCCATAAAATGACAAAGTACTTATGCTAAGGCAACAAGAAAAAGAACAATGTCACACACTTTGGACCATAACTTTATATATACAAACACTACTCAGAAGAATTTGAAGAAAAACTCTAAGATTATACAGGGCGAGTAAAAAAAAACCCATTTCATATTAATGTGAGCAAATCTGAAAGGAAAGGAATATTTTTGAGAAGGCGCGTGGACGTAGTAATTACAATGAACGTGAAAACACGAAATACGCATTGGAAATAACAACACCAAGTACACGATATAAATCCATTGCAGAATCGAATCAGGATACAGGAAGAAAATTTCCTATCAAGGACTTACTATTGGAAACGAGGTTGAAAAGAACGTAAGCCCTGGGAACGAGGTTGACTCTGCAGCGTCTACAATTCAATTTGACCCAATTTCACCCTTCAAAACAAATGAAACTTTACATTTTTGGGGGCATTGATTACCTTCAATAACAAATTGTGCATACATGTACTGCTAATTGTTTTTAATAAACATCAAAATAGATACATAGTTTAATTACATATTCATAAATACCTAAGACAGTTTACGCATTCCTATTGGTCGAGAGCCCGTCACGAGGCCGGTCTTAAACGTGTCACATGAAATTTGGAGTCCCATGAAATCCGGTGCCTTTTAACGTTTCATTGGTTGAACGCTCACATTCCTTACGTATGCATGTGCAATGTACTACCAGTGAATCAGTATTTCATTGTTCGAAATTCACACTACACCAGCCCAGCTGCGTTTTGCACAACATCGCGCAGTACGCACGATGCGCACGCCAATGTCCTTATAAGGTAACGAGTTGTGGAGGGCATTCATACAACCAGCCCAGCTGCGTTTTGCGTGACATCGCGCAGTACGCGCGACGCGCACGCCAATGTCCTTATAAGGTCACGAGTTTTGGAGGGGCATTCCATATTATAGTCAGAGGGGTGTTTCGTAAAGCATGAAGTCAAATTGTTAAACAAAATGGTTGGCAACGTCTAGTTTTTGACATTTTGATTTTTGGACCGAAAATATTTTTTTTTTGCCGAAAAGGTTTTCACGAATGGGAATAAATATGTGTTCGGTCGGTATTATACACTGTTTAAGACCGGTGGGAGTCTGGATGGGTGACAATTACCCTCGGCTTCGACTCGGGTAATTATCACCCATCCAGACTCCCACCGGTCTTAACCAGAGTGTTATAATACCTCCCAAACACACATTTATTCCCTTATTGATATATACGTTACGCTATACTAATATATCCGTACCAATGAGGATCCCTCTCAAGCCATACGTACCTGGTAGCCCTGTCTCCTGAAGACAAACAGAACATACTGTAAACGTCGAGTTATCAAACGGATTATGTTAACCACACAAAATCCTAAAGAGGAGTTGAGATTGCTGTAGGGGTCCGTGCACCCAAAAATTGTATATAGCGAAGTACCTCACTAATATGCATTTTGAGTTAGCTCTTACAAGTAATCTGGTTCCCTGACGTACGTCCCACAATAGCTATATCATGGGTCAGGTAACCATCGCATTCAAAACTTGAACATGACACAGCTGCAAAGCCCGCCCCTCATCACGGCCTCATACGAGTGAATATTTGAGTTGCGACCCAACGTTAACATTTCACATTTTACAATGGATACGTGGGTAATACGCCTGGCATTTAATTTCTTAAATGAAAGCCATGCATTTATGAAATCAAAATTTTCAAGATTGATGGCAAGCATGACAGGTCTTTTGTTGGTAAATAAAAACTATTTTACACCGGAAATGCCCGAACTATCGCCAACACATATCCAAGTGTCAACGTAAATTTAAGTCCGGACAATTTCGGAAACGGGCGGGATCCTGAATGTTTTGGTCAGGTGCCGTGCAAAGGCGTCAATCGCTTCTCCAAAGTGTGGGGGCATACCGGCGTAGGGTCTGGCTGGGCCGCTTAAGGGGCCCGAACAATTTTTGGATTGTAGACGCTCTGTGGTGCGATATGAAGACATTTTTTGACCACTTAGATCATCTTTTAAACATTATTTTCCAGTTTGGAGTCATTGAACCAACTTTCTGAGCTTTTGTTGGCTACAAGTTTTATTCGGGGACGGAAAAAGTGTGGGGGAGGGGGGCAAACGATGATACCCCCGCAGGAAAAAGTGGGGGACTTGTCCCCCCCCCCCCCTCTCCCACAGATTGACGCCCATGGTGCCGTGTAAGAATAGTCAACATATTTTGGTCTGGGAACCAGACTGCCCTAACAAGCTGCTGAAACCACTGAACACTTACGGGAAGATACAAATACACAAGAACGAGCAGATGAAGAAGAACATGTATTTCAAAGATAATCACAGTTCATTGAGAATACACATGCATGCTACGGTACCCCTGTCTGCGCTCAAGCGAAAACAAATTAAGCTTATGTTCTGGGAGTGGTCGACAAGGTGTCAAAAGGTTTGGATACTTTTTGATCCGGCGACCCCACCTCTACTGTATAGCCACGCCCCCTTTGTCTAGGCTGCCAGAACAGGAAGATAAGCATATGTCACTGTCGCGTTTCTGATCATCACCGGCACCACGGCGGCAGCAGCTGCGGCGGCATGCACGCGCGCGCGCATACGCCCGCGCCAGCTTTTCCCGCCAGAGTTTGCGCACGCTGGCCCTGAGGAGGAAAATGGCGGCGATGAGGGCGCCCTGCAGGGAGTTGGCGAGGACCGAGATGAACCACAAGGCAGGCTCCCGGACCACGTTGGCCACGATGAAAAAAGTCCATGTTACCCCGGTGACCATGCCGATCTGCAATGCGAACAAAATATAACTTGACACGTTTGCAAAATGAATCAGGTTCACCAGATCTGTGACCTCGGGTCCCGGGTCAAAAGGCAATGTTGTTAGGTATAAAATAATTACCGGAGCCAACCTTACCACTGATCGCAAACAAATACGTATGGTGTACATAGTCGTAAACTGTAACCCAACCATTATAAGTGAGTACGCGCGCACAGCTGAAAATGTAACAAAGATATGTGGCTCTTCGTGAAAACGGAAATCTCAGTTGACCTACTTTTACGTATTTCCGTTCAATAGGTTTTGTACATGTTCCAGGGGCCAAAATGTATGTGGCTCTTCGTGAAAACGCAAAATGCATCGAGACTTCTGCCCCTTGCAACATTAATGTAACTTGGAAATTAATGATGTTTTGCTTAAAGAAATATGTCAAAATGGTTAAGTACATCGTTTCTAAGCAAAATATTGGAAAAAAAAATCAAAATCGAAAAAGTGGTTAATTTTTGACACATGTGGCTCTTCGTAAAAACCGTGACGAAATGTAACCCCACCCTGTACGACTTTTGATCCTGTTTATACCGTCAGCCTTTTTGCAGTTATGATGATTATTTAAATCATTAACAACGATTGAGCAAAACAAGTTTGGATATATATGCTTGTACATGTACAAGTGAAACAAAGTCACTGCCACTCCAAGATGGCTGCCATGCAAAAGGTCTATTGGTTTGGCGGTCTTGCAAACTTACCTTGAAGCACATGAGAACGGTGGTCTTGGTCTGCTTCGCCATACGTGCTGCGACAAGCCTCCGATGGTTGGCAATCACGGTGTGGATCGTGAAGGCGAACATCGCCACATTAACAGCGATGGACAAGGCGATAGGAGAGCCGAATACAATCGCAGAGTGAAATGGCACGACGATCCAGCAGCTGCTGCCACCGTACTGGAACCATCCAAGCCGGTCGTTACTGAATTGGGACGCTAAGAAGCAAGACACCACGATGACAGCCGGTAAACCCCAAGCGAAGGCCGACAGCTTGAGGACCTTCCAGCCCTCCGACCCACCCCGTCTCGACGGGCGTGCGGGCCTCACATTGCACTTGAGATTGTAGGCCAAGTCACAGGACCAGACGCTCATCCAGAAGAAGACAGACAGCCAACAGAAATGCAGCAACACGGCTCGCAGGACACAGAACCAAGACTGGGGATCCGTACCAAACATCAGGAATACCTGGGCCATCAACAGCGCCCCCATGAGATTCATAACGATCTTACCTGGCGTGTTGCGCAGACTCGGGAATACACCATACGTCACAAGGCCTAGGATAAGACCAAATACAGAGCAACAAGTGCCAACATAACTGACATAGGCCAAAACGTGAGACCACACTATCTGGCACACTCGCACTGTGCCATCTGGTAGCAGCCAGTACTCGCCAACAAGGAAGGGAACACCAGTCTCAGCGTGGATGAGGGCGCCACCATCCGTTGACTGGAAGAAATCGTCTGGATACAAAATGAGGAGAGAGCAACGACGACTTCCAACAAATGGATTGCATAGCGTGACAGACTGACGTCTGATGACGCTGGCGTCGTTGATGTCAAAGAAGTACTCCGTTTCATGCATGAACTCGTGCTGGTCGTAAACAAATCCACCAATGTTCACACTGAAAACGCCGTCCAACACTAACAGGTCTGAGAAGCTGATATTGCCAAAGCTAAATCCTTCGCAGATTCCCTCCTTATGGGTTTCAGATTGATCTGAAGCTACCAGAATCACCGAGGATGCCTTACTACACAAGAGGGAAGCAAAGCTGCCTGCGTCTGTGACGTTGGACAATTTTAGATCAAGAGCATTTTGAATGCGATCAGCTAAAGCGAAACTCGTGTAGATGTTTAGAATGTGGCGTGGGCTGTCTGAACCTTCATCTACGATGTCTGCACTCGTCCAAAGGTCTGTGCTGGTAGACATCTCGCTGCTGTTCATAGCAATCAAGTTTTCTAGGCAATCCTCGGACAGGTTGGACTGTCCTAATGCCTTTTTCGGCTGTGCGTCCAAACACATGCCTGATGATGATTCAGGAGGTTGCCCATCACGACAAGTCAAATCCTGACAGATGTCTAAGAAGGGATCATAGATCTGCCATCGACTGCAGTTTCTTATTAGTGCTGGTGTGGAATGGGTCCTGCTTGTTGTGCCTTCGTTCGTCACGCTGTGTACCGTGCGACTCGTAAAGTCAAAGAGGAGGGTGAATGAGCGATTGGGGTCAAACCTATCATTAATTCCGGTTCGGGGTTTACAAAACACATCATGGATGCCTAAAGAGCCGCTGCTGCTACAATTCAAGTAATGAACGTTCTTGTAGACGACATCTGCGTATTTGTGGAACAGCAAGGAGGTGTAGTCTTCACAGAGTTGGACTTGGTCAGCTTGGGCGGTCGTGTTGGCTGGGCAACTGTCGACGAAACTGGGGTAGCATCGGTGAGGGTGATACAGCATTGAGGAGGGAGGTTTCATGCGGAACTTTGAACAGGTGGTGTAATCTGGATTGCCGCCGATTTGGACCGGTCGACTCTCCCCTTCAGCTGGCTGACAACGCCAAAGTTCCACAGTCCAGGGACGCAGTTGTTGTTCCTGGATCTCATGGCAGATGGTGCAGTACACGTTCTTGAAGACAATGTCACCAGGACCGTTGACAAACAGCGTTAGGAGTTTCTCCTGCCTCGACAGTGTTGTGCTCTCACATCGACTCTTGGTGACGCCCTGAGGCCAATCCAGAGGGCACCGATCGACCACCACGAAGCGGTTGTAGAAGGAGTCGATATCGATGGGGGAGACGCAGCCGAAGTATTCGGAGTATTCGGAGTGGAGTATCGGTCTGATGCGAGACTCCGAGGATGACTCATTGACGCAGTTGGTCCAGTAGTCTTCACAGCAGTCATCGTAGAGGGCGCACTGTGGGTCACATCGGCACAACTCTCTTCCTGTCGAACCCATATCCAAGCAGCCAACTGAACAACGCGTCCTTGATTCTCCACATAAATGTTGCCCGGCAACTGTAATTTTACGAAAACCATTGGATTTAGTTAAATACAATGAATAAACCGTAACATCAAAGAAGCATGAAGCAGCAGCAGCGGCGACAAATAAAAACGGGTATATAGTGTATCTAGTTGCATACTCCCCAGGGAGCTGAGATGGTATTTGGAATGTTTCATGTGCCCAATGAGCAGGGGTAATAATGATGTAGCGCCTTGAGCACCAGTCCTGGTGGATACGTGCGCTTTATAAATATCCACTACTATTACTATTATTATTAGTTGGCGACACCCTGAAGCCGACCGCGAAGTTTTTTTTCCTAAACAACATCCGCATTACATGGTTTTTGAGCGCCCTATACGACACGAACGCAAGTATATATTGCCATGAGCTTCCAGGATTTGCCAAGCAGTTAGATAGCTCAGATCAGTCAATAGAGTCGTGGTTTTGTACCGCGAGGGATCCGCGCGATGTGGGTTCAAAACACCATTCATAAATACCTCAGACAGTTTAGCCATTCCTATTTGTCGAGAGCCCGTCACGTGGCCGGTCTTAAACGGATGATAAAGACATGGCTAGCTGGTCTTAAACACTTTTCCAGTGTCGCAATAAAATGTAGACCCCTAAAAATCCAGTGCCTCTTACCGTTTCATTGGTTGAACGTTCACAATCCTCACGTAAGCATGCGCAACACTACCAGTGAGTCAGAATTTTATAGTTCTAAATTCAAAACGCAACGCGCCAGGTGCGTTCTGCGCGACATCGCTCAGAACATGCCACGCGAGCGTCAATCTCCATAAAAGGGCTGTTTACATCTTACTCGCCAGCTGAACACTCCATTATTTTGCTAGAGGGATGTTTCCAAAAGCATGAAGTGAACTTGTTGAACAAATCGGTATTTTTTTAACGAATTATGTGATATTTTTTACCAAAAAGGTATTTATGAATGGGAATAAATATGTGCTCAGTCGGTATTTATCACTCTGTTTAAGACCACTTAGAGTCTGGGTGCTGATAATTACCCTCGCCGGAGGCTCGGGTAATTATCAGCACCCAGACTCTAAGTGGTCTTAAACAGAGTGATAAAAACCTCCAGAGCACACATTTATTCCCTTATTTAACCGGGTTTTTTTCTTATCTGAGGCTTTGGAGGATTTTTTAAAGGGAAATGAAGTCCGACTTTCATTACGTGCAAATTCATTTTTTTTCTTCATGGTTTTAGGAGAAGTAAAATCCAAAACGTCCTAGCGTACACCATATGCGGATATCGTTTGGGGAAAAATATTTTTCCCAAACAACATCAGCATTAAAGGTTGTTTAGCGCCCTCCACAATACTTTTATGGTACGTAAGCAGGTGAATTTCCAGCATTTGTCGATAGTTCGGTAGCTCAGTCGGTAGAGTCGTGATTTTGTACCGTGATTGTGTACTGTCACTGGCCGGTTGCTGTGCTACTGCTTCAAATGTGGTTCTCTTTTCTTAATGTGTTGAAAGCATCACAGCGGCTTACAACAACACCAGGGATAGGCCTTCTTCCGTAATCGGCGGAGGACCTTGCTTGCAATAGGTTTATGTGTCTTGGGAAGCTTTAGGTGCATTAAGGTGATATTAGTTTATGCATTACACTTCATCTTGAAGTACATGATGTGCACAATGTATATTGTCAGCATACGCATGTTGCGCTGCCCCAATGAAGGATTGCATCATTTGTACGTTTTGTTAAACCTCACGTGTCTCCAGTGGTGGTTTTTTATTTGTTTATTGTATACCTCAAATACTTGAGGTACAATATTACCCTGTACGTTTTATCTCAAACACATGTAAAGATATTACGATCAGGAACGATATACTGCAATTCATGGGCATCAATGGTTAATCGCGCTCATTGCACTTAAACCTCATGAGGTCCTTTGGTCTTAAAATCACCAACATATTTCTACATCAGATACAGAGTACGGTCTACCTCAAAGCACGTCATAAAACTGCATGTCAAGTGCATGAGGTGTTATAAGTGTACAGTCATCTATCACATGCTGCACTTGGTGTACATGAGGGAACACGTGGTTTAACCTGAGGTGTGTGTATTACCCAACGTTGACACATCATGTGCAGTAGATGAGAGTTTCAGCTGGCTGAAACACACACATACTGCACCTCAAGTGAAAGAGGTTTCCAGTCAGCAATTCACAACACCACAAAACTACATGTCAAGTGCATGAGGTGTTATAAGTGTACTGTCATCTATCACATGCTGCACTTGGTGTACATGAGGGAACACGTAGTTTAACCTGAGGTGTGTGTCTTGCCCAACGTTGACACATTATGTGCAGTAGATGAGAGTTTCAGCTGGCTGAAACACACACATACTGCACCTCAAGTGAAAGAGGTTTCCAGTCAGCAATTCACAACACCACAAAACTGCATGTCAAGTGCATGAGGTTTTATAAATGTACAGTCATCTATCACATGCTGCACTTGGTGTACATGAGGGAACACGTGGTTTAACCTGAGGTGCATGTCATGTGCATGAGGTGTAAGGAAGTTGACAGTTATCTATCACATGCAGCACCTGATGTAGTTGAGGTAGCAGTTGGTTTTACCTCATGTCGTCACCGACACCACGAAGTAACACTCATGTACATACCGGTAAAAATTAGCAATCGGAGAAAACGGCATCTTAAGTTGAACGCCTTCTAGAACAACACTTTGCGTCAAAACTACATGGTATTTTCAGTTGAGTTTCTCGTTGTAGACACTTGATGTATTGATGTTATTAAATTTGCTGGTTTTGACTTGTTTGTGTATTAAAACAACAAGAAATAAGAGGAAAAAATGAGTGCTAGTTCGTAAAACCAAAAAAGCTGCGAAACTGTAAAATTTCGTCTTCACGAAGTAGCACGCTTCAATGTATTACAACACTAGAAGAGTGTTACTTCGTGGAAACGGAGGTCAGCGCGCGCGCTCAAACAACAAGAGTGTTACTTCGTGAAAACGTTTTTGCTCGCATTTGAGCAGAGTGCGCGCCATGCATTGCAAGGGTAAATGGAACTTGAGTGTTACTTCGTGAAAACGAAAATTGTCACTTTTGCGCAAAAGTTGCCATGGATACTTAGCGTAATTATTAAAGTAAAGCTCTTGAAGCTTTGAAACTTCGTGCAATGGTAGGCCTTGATGAATAATGTTTAAAAATCCCAAAAAAATGGAAATCGAAAAAAAAATATGGTTTAACACGGTAGAGTGTTACTTCGTGGTGTCGGTGACGATGTGTGTCAACCTCGTCCCCAGTGCTTACTTTATTTCCAACCGCGTTTCCAATAGTAAACCCTGGATAGGAAACTTTCTTCCTGTATCCTGATTGGATACCGCAATTGGCTAGTAATGGTTTTTATCGTGTACTTGGTGCTATATATTCACAACGTGCAGTACGTGTTTTCGCGATCATTCGTCCACGCCTTCTCGAAAATACTAATTTCCTTTCCAATTTGCTCATATTAATATGAAATATGATACTGCATGTTGTCTCGATAAGATCGTAACAGTTTGATTTCAAAAATCGTGTTTTCGTAACTCACGCCGTGCTCGCGCTGCTACGAATTGACTGTGTTTTTTTACCCCAGACACCGCATACAAAAACAAACGCTAATGTGTAACTCATATCCAGGCACCAGACTGTTCCTCATTTGCATACGTGTGCAAAAATCTTGCACATGCAAATGATCCAATACCAGGGTGAGAGAGCAGGTAGTGGTGGGCGCGTACTGCTCGACACCCTGGGGACGAGGTTGGATGTGTGTGTATTACACAACGTTGGCACATATCACGTGCATCAACTTGGTAGGTTCACGTGTATGACGTAGAGTCACGTTTTGCAGTGCACAAAGGAACTAATTAATTCCGTCCTGATCCCCCAAATAATGAGTCTGTTTCCTGCTAATACCATTTAATGATCTCGTTGTTTCCTTTTTAATTGGATGCAGAGTTTTCGTCGTCAATAGATCTGACAGAATAAATAGCCTTTTACTAACGAGACCCTGAGAATAATGAGGATTGGTGATAATATCCGTCTGCCCCTTTCACTGAAGACGAGACAGGGCTAAAATACAAGACAAGGCAATTAAAACTGGTAAAGATGGTCGGAGAGTGTACAAATTTGTATTCAATTCATCAATGCATTGAGAAATCTGAGCTCTGGCTATACCGTATACGGGATAATCCTATAATACATTGTGTGAGGGACACGAGTCTAGACTGGGACTTGTTGGCTTTTTGTCTCAGAGTGGATCGGACTGAGGTAGTGGCTCAGTAGGACTAGCTGTCGGACTTGAATCGAGTTTATTTATTTATTTATTTGTCTGTTTATACTTATTTATTTTTATTGATATATATTCCATTTCATTATCCAGGGTATGCCCAAACAGTTAAAAAAAAATGTTTCCATTGGGGCCTTGCACACATTACACATTACTGGAAAATATTCAGTAAAATTAAACTCGACTCATGAGAAAAAGTGCTTTGGTGGAACATACGAAAAACATTGTGTACAATGACAAGCAATTCAGAAATATTACAGAAATATTACAGAAAGACTTCATTTCAAAGAACTGTTTAAACTTGAGAAAATGTTCAAATTGTTGTTTTTAACGGTTCCGCGTCTGTTGTCTGCTTTGACTCTTTAAGATACCTCTATATAGGCTGTAGAGTATCGCAAGAAACCACGATTCGATAATCACTGTATACTCAGTAGTGCGTGCGTGGACGTGATCTGATACACCGTGCCCTCTGGAGACATGCACACAATAGGGAACAAAATATTGTATACGTCTCCACGGGGCAATTTCTATAGATGAATACGTCTCCACTAGGTTATCCCGAAATAGATACACTGTTATTTCGGTTGTGTAAAAATCAGACGGTTGTGTACTATATGAACCTAGCAACCCGTTGTTTACACTTGTGTAAATATTTACACTTGTGTAAAATATTACACAACTTGTGTAAAATATTACACAACTTGTGTA